ATTGAAAAAAAAAAAAAGATACTTCTTTGTATATGGCTTGTAAATAGAAGTGTGCTATTACTGTTATAAGCAATATGACGACTTTGGATTGTTTTGCCTGGTGGATGATAAAATGGGTGACTTATACTAAAGGAGGGATCCAAGCCATATTTAGAGACCAGAATATCATAAACACCTTAAGGTGGACTCTTGTGACCTGGGCCATTAAGCAGTGCCTTGGCAACCCCCAGAATACACTAGAATTTGCATAGAAACACATTAAAGCCGCTTGGAACACCTTGGCAACTACCCTTGCAACCAAATACAACCTCCTATCATAGTGGTGGGGAGTTTTACACATTTTCTTCATAAAATGTGAAAGTTTTATTTTGCTGTTATTTAACAGAAAAAAGTAACCTGTAACAACTCAATTCTTATTTTCAATTCTTGTTTCTCCACAGGCCAATGAGGGTGGAACTGCCCAGTCTGAGGGGCATATGGAGACTGTGGTATCACATATCGTGCATGTGTTTGTTGATGCCCTGCCTCATGTGCCCGAGCACAGACGCTTACCCATCCTCAGCCAGCTGATGAACACACTGGGGCCATCTCGCTTCCTCTGGGTCCTGATGCTGCTCCTGTTCAAGCAGCATGTCACACAAACATCTGTCAGTGCAAGTGGGGCTGAAAAGGTAAAGAAAGTTTAATGTATGTTTTTTAAATTTCCAACTGTATTGATATTTTAGTTTTTTTGCCACTAAATAAGCAATGTCCAGGAAAATCCTATGGTACACTGGAAACCCATTTGTGTTTAGGGTTTGTAGAGACAGTTGTGTTATCTGTTGTGTAGGAGGCTGTTGTGGAGAGAGATCAGGACTTCTGGACCTCGGTGTGCTGTGAGTTTGAGGTAAAGGAGCAGCTGACCTCCATCATCAGAATCCTGCAGTATCTCATGACTCTACCACAGGACAAAGAAGAAGGTAAGAACTGCCCACTTCAATGAATTGCCTCTGACTATCTTTCTTTAAGTTGACAATATTGCTTTCTTGATTTTAATTAATCTTCATTTTGATGGAACGTTATTGATTAGACCAATCTTTAGTCTATGCTGTTTTCAGTTGATGTTTGAACAAAACATCAAACATTATTTGTAGCGTGCCTGACATCCAGTAATAGCAATAAGCTTTGTGCTTTTTTTACTTTTGATTGTAAACAAAGTCTCCGCTTTGAAATTCTCTCACTTTTATTGTGAAATTCAAACAATAAATGCCGTTGACGCTCTTAAATGTCGCGTGACAGATCACTGTATCTGCCTCAGTTTAAGCGGCAGCACGGAGTGCACGTGAAATTATCGTCTCTTCCT